CTCCAGCTCCTTGGAGCATTTGGTAAGGCCTTTGGTCTTACATTCTGGAGGCACCTCTGGGATCCCCGGGTGTGCTCCACTATAGTCAGCTCCTTGGAGCCTTTGGTAAGGACAGCGGTCTTACAGTTCAAGGCCAGTCTGACTTACATAGCAAGAAGTTGATTTTATTTTTTAATCATTTTTGGCTTTTTAAGAATTTATTTATTTTTTACTGGGAATGGTGGCCCATGCCTGTAAAATCCCAGCACTTGGTAGGCTGAGTCAGGAGGATTGCCATGATTTCAAGATCAGTCTGACCCCAGTTTCAATCTCCAGTACCAAAAGAAAAAGAAAAAAGCTGAGGGTAGTGGCGCACACCTGTGGTCTCAGGATTCCAGGAGGCTGAGGCACAAGGATCACCATGAGTTCAAGGCCTGAATAGTGAGTTCAAGGCCATCCTGGAATACTTAGAGACTGTGCCTCACAACACAACAAAACAAACAAAAGAAAGAAAAGTAAAAGAGGAATGCTCCGTATGCGGCGTGCCAGGCAGGGGTAAGTGTGTAGAGGAAATTCTGAGCAAGGAAAAGGGATTGGTGGAGTCCCAAGTGTGTCAGAGGAAGGTTTCTCGGGGCTGCTGGCCTTTGAGCAAGCGAGGTAGTGAAGGGACAGGACAGCTCGGAATCTGCGGGGTGGGGTGCGTGTGGGGCAGGGTGGGGTCCTGGGCCCTGGGAAGGACGTTGGGCTTCACTCTCACTGTGCCGGGCGGGCCTAGTGCTGCAGGGGCTAGGAGTTGGGATCGGAGATTGCAGAGATTGCATAATCCCTCCTCGGGGCCTGCCCAGCCAGATAGGCAAGCTGCTCACTGTCCTGGCCTGCGGGGCTGGCTGGTAGGGACCCTTATCTAAAGCTGTTTACGGAGAGAGGCTCTAGATAGCCCCATCCTAAGAATTTCACCAGCCAGCCTGGAAGGAATCTTGGGCTTCTGAGGGAAGCGTTTGCCCTGAGGACTTCTCTGCCTGCCTGGAGTCAGGAGTCAGAGTCCAGTGGCTGAGCTGAGCAGGGCTGCCAGGTGTCACTGGGCAAACAGGGCAGAGAAGCCCGGGGCGGTCCCTGAAACATCGTGGATGTACGACTGGCCTGAGCTGGCTCTGTCTTTGTGCAGTGTCTTCTGTCCCCCATGGGGGCCAAGTGCCATCTGTCCCATGGCTGTCTGCATTTCCATAAGAGACTCTGGATTGGGGCCTCCAAATGTGGCAGACACTGGGCTCAGGTGCCTTTGGAGCCCTTGAAAGAGGGCCAGTCCGAACTGAGATGTGTGAGACGGATCCCGGAGCGAAATACCAACGTGGAGGACTTGGAACTTCCACATTGTGTGTGTGCGTGTGCATGTGTGTGTTTGCGTGAACATGCAGTGTGGGGCAGTATATGTGATTTATGTGTGCACATATGTGTTACTCGGTTCTGAGTTGCTGTGGGTTCTTTCCGGGTTCTTCGTGTCCTCAACCCAGAATTAGACAAAACACACGAAAAAGGTAGTGAGCTTTTACACTATTAAAGGTAGGAGAAGAAGAATCCTCTGCACAGTGAGAGTGGGCCAATTAAAGACAGGAAAAGAAGTACAGAGAGTTCTGTGGCCATGAGGTCAATGACAGATTTTTCTGTACTTCCTGTTCTTCAGGCTGATGTCAGATCTAGGCCATCCTATCAAAACCTGCTTGATTCTGCACTAGAACTGAAGATAGCATTTTCTAATTGGTACCAGGTGCAGGGCTTGGGAACCCTTTAGGTGCATGTGTCCTGGATCTCTGTGATTGACAGGTTATGCCCATCCTTCCAGCTGGTTGACCACACCCTAATCTCCTGTCTCACATTCACATCTTACTAGTAAAATTTTTTGAGGGGGGGGGACAGGTTCTCACTATATAACCCAGGCTCTCACTATATAACCCAGGCTAGCCTTGAACTCTGGGTGATACTCCTGCCTCAGCCTCCTGAGTGCTGGTATTATAGGCATGGGCCACCAGGCCTGGCTAGTAATTTTTCCATTTATGACATGTTGAAATGATATTTTGGATATATTAGATTAAGTAAAAATATTAACATTTATTTGACTTTTTTTTCTCTCTCACTCTTTGATTTGGCTACTAGAAAATCTCAAACTATATATATGACTTACATTCTATTTCTACAGGCCAATACTGCTCGGAAAGGTTAAAAGCCTTCAAGATCCAATTAAATGAATTCATAATTAAAATTGCAGTCGGTTGTGATGGTACACTCCTGCAATCCTAGTATTCTAGGAGGCTGAAGCAGGAGGATCACAAATTTGAGCCCAGACTGGGTGACTTAGCAATTTAGTGTGATCTTGTCTTTAAATAAAAAGTAAAATAAGGACTGGGGATATAGCTCAGTGTGAAGGCCCTGGATTCAATCCTCAGTACAGAAAAAGAAAAATTGCAAACCCTTCACCCCTGCAACCATCCCCGACCATGGGGTTCCTATAGGACGTCTTTCCTTTTTGAATGGTGCAAATCTGCCATCGGTTCTAGTTACTGCTTCCTGTCTACACCTGCTGCTGGAACATGGCTCCCATGAGGGTGAGCTTCGTCCACATTGTTCAGGGATGTGGCCCCTGGGTTCTTAGTGCCAAGCACACAGTAGGTGCTCAGTATATAGGGAATGAACAAGTGTGGACCCAGGAAGGGTCCCATTTCCCACCAACCAAATCTTCAATTGTTCTAGAGAAATTCCACATACACAGGTTCTTCGTGTATAATCTCCACCTTTTTTTCTTTTTGCAGTACTGGTTATTGAACCCTGAGCTTTCACACTGAACTGCATTCCTATCCTCCTGTTTTTGTTTTTTTGAGACAGGGTCGTATTATATAGTTCAGGCTGGGCTTGAACTCACTATGTGGCTAGGCAGGCTTCAAATTCATGGAGATCCTCCTGCCTCAGCTTCCTGAGTGCTGGGATGATAGCAATGCACTACCATGCCCCTCAAAAAGATCCACTTTAACCTCCTGGTTACCCCATGGCCCCCTCCTTGGGTTCCATAATTTACTATAATGACTCACAGAATTTAGGGAGACCCTTCAGTGTATAACTAGAGGGAGAGTAGCATAGACCATGGGAATGGGGTGAGGCATGGAATTACCCGCCCTCTCTGGGGAGCTTGCAGAATCTTGAACATTTTTCAGAGGTTCCATTCCACAGGATAATGACTGAGATTGCTGGCCATATGGTGGCCAGTCATTATGGTACTAAGTCTCCAGCCCTACCTGGGATTTTGTGTGATTGTGTGCCTGCCCACATGTGGGGTTTCGGGTCACATTGCTCAGTTGTCTACTCTGGCAACCAGCCCCAACCTTTCAGCTGCCAGTTCATCATTGCTTTACACAGACTCTATTGCTATTGCAATGCTGAAATCTTAGGAGCTCTTAGCACCTGGGGCAGAATTTGAGTTAAATAGAAGAAATAGGCTTTAGTGAGCTATTTGTTTTGAGACAGGGTCTTGGTTTGTAGTTCAGGCTGCCCTTGAACTCCCAGCTAAATTTTATTTACAGGTAGGTTTCCACTAAGTAGCTGGGCATGGTGGCACATGCCTGTAATCCCAGTACTGGCAAGGCTGAGGCAGGAGGATCACTGCGAGTTTGAGGCCAGCCTGAACTACAAAGCAAAGCAAGACCCTATCTCAAAAACAAAAAAACCAAAAAAGAATAGAAATCCAAGTTTGTTGCAATGATGTGCTTTGTCACAAGACAAAA